CATTTTCAGGTACGGGTAAATTTCTGAGGGCATCAACCTTTTCCTTCAGAGGATGAATGCCTTTGGCATCAATGTAGTGACCAAGGTACTCCACACTCTCCTGTATGAAGCTGCATTTTGTGATGCGTGCATGTACATTGTACTCCTCTAGCCTCTTGAGTACCTCTGCAAGGATTTGGTACTGCCGTTCTTTATCTGTAGAAGAAATAAGGATATTGTCAATATAACATACAACTCCTTTGATCCCGTTTAGAATTTCATCCATCGCACGTTGAAAGATTTGTGGAGCTGTTTTGATTCCGAAAGGCATTCTCTCATACTGAAGTAGGCCAATAGGTGTATTGACTGTCAAAAGTTCCTTTGATCCATCACTCAACTTCAGCTGTTGAAAAGCGTTAGCAAGATCAATTTTTGAAAAATATTTGGCTGGGCCAATTGTTGACAGCAACTCTTCAGTTGAAGGTAATGGGTAGGGATCTGCTTCCAGGAACTGGTTTACAGTGACTTTGTAGTCCCCGCACAGCCTAAAGTCTCCTGATTCCTTTACCACCGTGACCATAGGGCTCGCCCATGTACTTGATTCAACCTTTCTGTACACCCCCTTGTCTTCCCTCGACAGCAATTGCTCGGTGACTTGGTCTCTCTTGGGGTACGGTACTGGATAAGGTTTCCTGAATACATGCTTTGTATCAGTGGGAACCCGAATATCAGCTTCAAATCCCTTGATGACCCCCTTTTGTTCTGTGAAGACATCTTGGTATTGAGATAGCAGACTTCTAAGACGAGATTCGTCTCTTAGTGAGAACACCTTTCCCCAATCAAGCTTGATTTCCTTTCACCAAGTTCTTCCTAGCAGAGAGGGCTTTCTTCCCTTTGCAACAATCAGAGGCAGGACATTCTCTGAACTTGTACTTGAATCTCCCCCAGTAGGTCTAGGGTGTCCCCTGAATATGACTTTAGACATAATGGGGTATGTGATAACACTCGATTACTAAACAATTCTTTATAAGTGTTCTCTCCAATAATGGAGACGGATGCTGCTGTGTCAAGCTCAAAGACAACTGGCTGGTTATCTACCTTCATGGATACAGTGTACTTATCATTAGGCTCTCCTGGTGACTTGTTTTGATTGACCTCTATGGTGACACTTAGTGATGAAGTTGGGCTCCTTGAATCTGTTGTGGGACCCACCCTCTCTTTAGTGATGTGGTAGATTGTTGGGTCTAGTTGGCTGGTTTCGGAGTCATACTCACACTCTGGCATAGCATTTACCCTTCCCTGACGCCGTTGGTTTCTCTTGCCCCTGTTTTGGGAAGCCATCCATCTTGCAATTTCGTCACACCTGCTTTGGATGTGACCCACTTTGTTACATTTATGGCAAGTGGCAGATCGAAATCTACAATTATTGGGGGTGTGAGACGATTGGCCACACCTCCAACACCTTTCATCACTTTGTTAGAATTTTGCTGCACTAGATTCACATTATTTTGGTTGCTTTGTTCTTGTACAGAGTTATCCAATGCCGAGCATGAGTTGGCTGCAGCAATTTCTCTATTAGCAACTTTTACAGCCTCACTAAAGGACAATTTCTTTTCCTGAATCAACCGAGCTTGTGCTTTTGGGAAAGTTCAGTCACACTACAAACCACACAGTGCATCGTCTAAGAACGTTTTGAAATCACATGTAGCACTCAGGCGTTTCAAATCGACGGCAAAATCTGCGATGGACTCGTTTTCTTGTCTTACATGCTTACCAAATTGGTACCGTTCAAATATGAGCAATTGTGTTGGTTTGTAGTGTTCACTCAACTTGGTGATAATTTCATCTAAACTAACTTCGCTTGACGGTTCAGGCAGACACAAATTTTTAACTTTGTCATACGTACTCGGACCAATCGCAGCAAGGAATACCACCTTTTGATGAAGTACTGTGTAAGCCTCTTGTGGTAGTTTTCAAATGACTCATTTTTCAGTTCAAACTCGCCAAGTTTTCCAATAGACATATCCACTGGACTCGCATTGGATTACTTAACAATCTTTCTCTCATTAAATGGGATTCTGCGGATCCTCGTCGCCAAAAATGTGGTGTATATAAGACAGATTTAACCCAACAGCCGTGTGCTCAAACTCCATTTAATCAATCCTAAAAGCGCATGCGCCAATCCCTGAAACAGGGAACCCAGTAACACAAGATGGCGCAATGTACTACACAGACATCTCTTAGAAAGAGCTGTACCACTCTGTACTCTCTCATCTTTCTGAATGCTTTTCTGTCTATTGTACACATCTTTTAACTTTGTTGAAGTGAGAAAGCCCTTTCTCTGCACTTGCCACCTTTCTCCCTGCCCTCTTGTACTACTTTCAATCTCTTTTCGTTCAACAGAAGATAACTTAAGTCCAGATAAAAATTCTTCATGACTTTTCTGTTCTGTTTCAGACTCTAAGAAGTTCTTCACCTTGTGATAAATAATAGGCATTAAGGTTGTATTTTGAGTATCATTGCTTTGCTCACTGAGTAAGGTATTATCAGATGGTGGATGTCTGTATCATCTTCACTGTCCAGAAAGAGACCAGCAATACTGTAAAATTCATTGAAGTTTAATCTTGATCTCTTTGAGTTTCTCTGAAGTCATGTTTTGCCCTTGGATCAAAGTCTATTTTATCCTTGAATGGCCCTCTTGTTCTCTGTTTTATATTTACATGGTCTTTTTTGACTTCTTTTCTTTTTTCTCTAACTCTGAAATTATGTTTTTTTCATGATTGTTGAGGACTTTGCCACTTTGACATCGGTGACTGGCATTGGACAAGTGGTTTTTGTCTCTCTTTTTTTCCAGTAACAAAGTTCTTCAGTCGGCACCTTATCCTCAGGATACATGCAATAGTGTAGTGAATACATGGCTGCAGCAATGTGCTTACAAGCACCATCTTGCCCACCAGGACAAATACAATAGGCAGAAAATATTGACCCAGTTGGTGCCCATTTAAAATCAGCGTCTTTCTTATCAGTCAATCGTGTTCCATCTACAATAAACCATAAATCGTAAAATTTCCCTGAAGAAGTTTCTGTTATCATTGTAGGCTTTACCTTTCCTAGAAATATAAAATGACCATTCAGCTGTTGAACTTTTAAATCTTGCACGTAGCCATCCTCAAATAGAGCGTACTCCTTGAATGCTTTGTATGAAGCTATTTTTTGCCGGTCATATTCTGATGATTTGAAAACTAAAACGTTGAAAATATCCTCAATTTCAAAGGGCGGTACATCATTTAGCTCGTATGCTAATTGATTCTTTGGAATAGAAAAAGATCATGCATTTGGACTCCATTAATTCTCAATCTTTCTGATAGATCCAAGACACCTTCGTGGAAATCGACATCGTCTTGTAGATTAAGTGTAGATGCCGCTTCTGCTAGTTTTACTTAGCTCGCTTTCTTAAATGTTCCAACAGTTATGCCCTTAGGCCCAAGTCGCATTACAGTATTTTTGGATAAAAAATGTGTAATAATCCTGTCCATAYCTGTCAGCAAMCAWCATTTTGYAATGCGACTCTAATTTTGTCAAATCCTAAAAAAATCCTAAACTAGCAAAAACTTCAAAGACGCCGTAGTGCTTGGGTGGGGAAGGCAGATTCAGAGAGAATTTTTCACAACAAAGAAGACCGTTTTCGCGCTTCACGTATAAACTTGAGTCCACGTCATTGTTGTGTAATCATGGCGGACGGTCGCGACTACTTCGCTTTCAATGACTACCAAGGTTATTACAATCCATACTTCGTTCCATATCCTAATATACCGCCTCAAGCGTCTACTAGTGGTGTAAATGTACAACCTACGTCGATCTCGCCGGGATGTAGTGGAGCCAACACGAGTAGTACAAGCAGTAGCCCTGACTTGGACAAACAGACATCATCCTCGAAAGGCAAAAAGGCATATGACAAGTTTTCTCACGATCAACAAGCAATGCTAGTCAGCCTTTGGGCAGAGAAACACGATGAGCTTGAGAGCAAAGATAACAGAAAAGTATGGGAGGACATTGCTAGCCAAATCAACACAAAGTTTAACCTTAAGAGAGCCACAGACAAGTATAAACAAAAAATGAAATACCTGACTGAAAGATACAAGTCCGCTAAAGATTGGAATAAAAAGCAAAGTGGCGGACACCGCAAAGAATCACTATTCTTTAAAGAAATAGACGAGGTTTTAGGATGCAGGGACATAGTTACACTACAACATGTTGCTGACGTTGGTAACAACAACGATTCGTTTGGCAACGAAGATGAATCTACCGCAGAAACATCAAAAGAAGAACGAACTGACAGAAAGCGTAAGAGTCGCAAGAATTCATGACGAATGCTTTCAAAAGCATGAGAGAGCACATGCTAATGAACACATTTATGGAAAATTTCACGAAATCACAAGAACAGCAAACGCAGACTATGAATGCGTTGGTTGGCGCACTGACAACATTCTTGCAAAACAGTACCAAGAATAACTAGACTCAATGATAGGTACATCAACTTTTATTTGTTGCAGTTAACTTTGATACTAGAAATGATTACGCATTTATTTACAACTATAAAAAACTATTAACATCAGCTAGATAAGAACAATGATGAAAACAAAACGATACAATTTGTGAAATTATTTGACTTGTAAACAGTTATCCAAGCTATTCATTATGATAATGATTCTTTACGAATTAAATATTTGCTAAATAGTCCTTTAATTTTTCCCTTATGTCTTCTCCATCTCGTAGAACATTTGCTCCTGGACTTTGATAGTTTGCATCATCATGCTCAAATTCTTCATCCCAGTCGTCACCATTTTGGATACAAATATTATGTAGCACAGCACAGGCTACTGTACATTTAATAGCAAAAGCAATTCTACTGTCAAAACGATTCTGCAGAATTCTCCAACGACTTTTAAGAATGCCAAACGCGCACTCTACCTGAATACGAGCAGAAGATAAATTTTTGTTAAACAAAATCTCATCAGGGTCTCTTGTTCCTTCGGGGTAAGGTTTGATAAGCCATGGACCTAAGGTATAGGCACTATCTCCAACCAAATAAGGACCAATTTCTTCTCCGTTTATATTCTCAACTGGCTCAGTAAGAATATTTCGATTCTCGGCATTTCTATAGACATCACTACATCGACGTACACGTGAATCATGCATGCTCCCCGGAAAACCGCACGCAAAATCTATGAATAATCGTCTGCCGTTTACAATGCCTTGGATGATAAAGTCATGTTGCTGGTATCTGCTAAAATAGTCTGCTGAGCTTTCTGCTGGTGCTCTTATTCGTATGTGAGAGCCATCGATCGCTCCTACAATGTTTGGCAAATCGCTGAGATCAGTAAATGTTTCGATTGACGCCTGAACTTCAGCAACAGTTTCGGGAAATTTTATGTATTCTTTTCTAATGTCATAGAGAGAGTTCACTACATCTTGGACTGCTTCGATGACCGTTGTTCGTCCAACGCAGAATGCAGGAGCAATACTGACATATGAATTCCCGTGTGCCAATCGATATATTCCAATAGCCAGTACTGTACTTGGTGGAATACAGTCTCTGAATATTGAGTTCTGTCTTTGTAGTCTAGGTCCAAGGATATTCAAAATAACATCAAAAGTTGCACGGTTAACTCGTAATAATTCTTTGAAGGTGCTATCTGGAACTGTTAAATCATTATAGTATACATCAAAGCATGATTCTTGAGGGCGATTTATCCTCCAAGCGTACGGTGCAATTCTCATCCTATGAAATCTTCGTCGAGCTCTTCTTCTATTGATAAGTGCATTAAGTACAAGCGCATAATCAGCCAACCATGCCTCATAAAGGACGTAAAAAGCAAAGGTCTGTTGTTGTTGAGTCTGATTATAAAGAAGAATCAGCACAATCGTCGCAAGAGCAGTAAGTTGTTGCTGATTCATCGTTAACGCTACCCAAAGGATTACTCTTGGCGGGAATTATAATGTTTACATTTATAAAATGGCGGGAACTTAAAGTGAAATATTATACCTATCAATGAATTGTGATTTTTATAATGCGACCGTAAATCTCATAACAAAAAGTTTCATTTCCGGAAAAACAATTTAATTTTTGAAAATCTTTTTGGACTCGTTAATCTAGAATTTGGGTTGTAATGCGACTTGGGCCTTAGATATCAAATACCTTCTTAAGTCATAAACACTTCGATTTGCATAAGAATAGTCTTCCATTTCATTGAAATAAAACACTGATTGACTAAATTCCTATACAGAACTACTTCCGATCCACAGAGAGTTGTCCTAACTTTGCTTTGAACCAATCACAGTGCGACATTCATACAACGTGATCAGTATGCAAATTAGCCRTCTTTTTAGTAAGAAAAGGTGGATTACATATGAAAGCAAATTATGTTGTAAAATACCTTTTTTCTTACTTCCACTATACTGCTAATTGAAAAAAACGTAGTCGTGATCGAAAAGGCTACATCATAGAAGCTAAGACCGAAAGGGGTGTTGAACCACTAATTACGTGGGCTTCCCGCGGAAGACAACATCTAAAAATGCAACTGGACTTTTATTCTCCGTCTTCGCGAGTATTTGGCTTCAAATTGGTACGCCTGCGTTGCAGATGGTCAGCAGTCTTAGAATGAAAACAAAATGGCGGACAGACGGCGGCAAAAAGTTGTCTCGTTTTGAATGGTTCTAAAATGTAGCTAAAATGCTCTAAAGAGCTGAAAATCTTACAAAATCAACTGATTACCATCCAAACAACATGGAATGAGGTATATAATTTAAGGTTACCGGATGATTCATGCAGAAATGACTGGAGATTTTCTATCGCCGACTCGAAGAGCACTACTCGCCACAACAAGTGTTCGACTTTGACAGAAGAATAATCATTCGATGGACTAAAACATATCAAACCTCGGCTGTGTTTTCACTAGGACGTTAAGCTTGCTTACAATTCTTTGTGGTCTTTATTTCCAGTCAGAGTATAAGCTAGTGTAAATTCACCGACTGTTTTCATTGCAAACGTTAGGTGGTGAAATGATGGACAGGTCAACCTAAATATGTAGAAAGCTCTCTTATTACTAAGTGCACGCGCCAAGTTCGAAAAATGGCGGGAGCTCGAAGTCTTGTGTTTACAACGTTATTACTGCTAATGTCAGTGTTATCTCAGCGAAAACGTTCTAGATTTNCCTTGATCGCGTCGAACATCAACTTCTGACTTTTGAGCTCGCGGTCTGCCTCCTTTTCCGCGAGCTTCTCAAAGAACTCATGATCCCTATCTTGGCTTTGCCTCAAGAAATCAAATAACTCGACGGAGGAATCTTGTTCTTCCTTTTGTTTGTTTGGTTTTCTTTTTGCTGCTGGCTGCTTGCTTTTAGCTGCTGGTCGCTTCCCTTTCGCAGAATTGCTGTTTTGGTCGTTGGCCTCTGGAGATTCAGTCGTGTTTCTCTCTGAGCGAGGGCTGTCGTCTACCGACTCGATTTCATCTTCGCTGAGTCCATAATCTAGTGTGTATTTTGGTGTAATATTAGGCTTACAGCCTAAAACATCATTTAATTCATCGTAGTAGTCGCACGTTTTATCGTCAGTTCCYGATCTGTTGTTGTGGYCCTTGACCCTCTTGTACTCGTCCTCCAATGCTTTGACGCAGGCTTTGCATTGCGCACCACTTCTAAAGCTTTTTAGCCCTTGATCTTTCAACTGTTGATTTAATTCCTTTGCAATTGAATCCCATATTGCTGCATTTCTTTTCTTACTTATTGGGAAGTGGTCTCGCCATAAATCTAGAAGATATCTGGTCTCCTGGTCTGACCAGTTTTTGCCGCGACCTGGCTTTGGAGTTGAGTCCGGTGATGAAGATGACTGCGGAGGTAAATATAGTGTCGTGTTTTGGCTTGGGTCAGCACCTGACGAAGATGGCTGCGACGTAGGAAAATATAGAGTGGTTGTGTTTCGGCTTGGGTCAGTAATCGACGAAGATTGTGATGGAGGAAAATATAGTGTGGTTGTGTTTTGGCTTGGGTCAGATGGCTGCGACGGCGGGAAAAATAGTGTTGTGTTTCGGCTTGGGTCGGGATTGAAGTACTGACCAGGTCTGAAAAGCAATGGGCCGGTTTGCTGTTGGTTTTGGGCATTTAACAAATGCAATGGAGGAACATTAAAGCGATTTCTGTAAGAAAAACAAAGCTCGTCAATAACTAAGTCTGTATAGTAAGTCAACGATATCATGCGTTACTCAGAACGAACTAAAGATAACTTGAAAACACTTGGTAATTTTAAGCTAGTTTATGCTTTACTCGGCTGTTTTCACTGCGTTTCCGGATTTTTCGCCTTTAAACTAGCTTAAATGTCCTAGTGAAAACACAGCCCTCATCTGAAAAATAATGATGTCATTTTCTAAACGATGTGTTGAACTCATGCACGTGTGAATTACTGTATACAAAATCTATGTTGTGTATGAAGATTTGTTTTGGTGATTGTTTAACTTGAAAAACATACACAAATCCAAAAATATGAACTGTTTGATGATGGCACAGAAGCACACTAAGAAGCACACAGATGGCACACTAGCTCGATTATTGCCTTGGTGCTGGGTGGTTAGTGGTCATGACAGGACACCATTTATCATCAGACAAGGACCATCCATAGTTTTTAGGGTCTGGAATATCTGGGTTTGCAATGATATCTGCATTCCAAATCATCATTTGGTAGTGGGCTCGCAAAATTGCTTGTGTTAATGCAGCCTTGGTTAGTGGTAGCCTGTCTGATTGTGCTTGCTTTTTCTTAAAAAGAATCCATCTTAATTCCTGGRCGGTCTTTACATCTGTATTTGGTTCGTAGATCTGACAGACAAATTGTTCAAGTCCCATAATTGTTTCCTCGCATGGGAAGTCACCAACACCAAGATTTCCAAGCGCAGAAATGACTGATTCAGGGGCATCTTGAAAAGCTTTCCAGCATGATTGCTTTGCTTTACCAGAGAAGCTTCCTGTAACATCAGCTCCGGTGAAAGCGTGTAGTGCAGGCAACACAGCTGTCTTAGCTGGTCCAAGGGCTGCAACAATTGGGTAAAGTTCAATGGTGCGTCGCTTATCTCCTTTTCCAGTCTCAAAATATGTGTTGGGGCATAGAAGGGGATAAYGTCGGATTGCCAGAACAAAAACATCGGTGTCTGGTGAGTGAATGAAGATTTGGGTGGCACCATTGGTGGTGGCATCTGAGGCATGTAGAATCATCTTGGTATCTGCCTCCTCTTGGTTGCTGTTAATGTAGCTCATGTCACTGCCAGTAGCCTCTGCACATACGCTGCCCCAAGCAACAATTACTCTACGGCCTCTTTCATTGGCATGGACAAGGATCTTCTCAGATAGGTACTTCGTCAATTCCATCTTTGTGTTTGTGTGCGAGAGGAGTTTCTTAAGCTGTAGTCGTTCAATGTGAGTGGAATCGGTGATGTGATAGTAAATTGGGTCTTGGGCACCTTGTCTTCATTCCCTAGTTGCACCTTTTAGTGACATTGGCACTTCATAGCGATCAAAAATCAAGCGTAGCTCATCAYTATTGCTGTATTTATCCAAGATTCTTGTAGAGAAGTGGTCAGCCAAATCAGCACAACTTTTAATCCAGGAAGGCTTGTCAAGTGACTGAAGCTCAGCCATTCCGTCAACAATGTYGACCTTCCGTGCAACTTCTWGCTCATTGGTGTTTCCTGAATCCAYGGATACTACGGGGTCTCGATGGTCCTTCAACTTCTCAAGGATGTGCATSAGGTTGCTCTTTGATGTGCAATACAACATGGTACCATCAGCGGCAAAAAGGGATCTTGGCACTACAGAGAACTCGTACATTCCGACTGCCTCTCTGACGTTGATCTCAGGACGACGCTTGCACACTAACATCATTCTGGCAAATAGTGACCTGTCTTCTTTCAATTCTACAACTTTGTCTTGTGTCTTGATTCTTGTTCTCTTATTTGCACTCTTCCATGTAAGCAGCTTTYGTTTTTTRAAACGAGACCAGATGTTTACATCCCCTGACTTGATTCGCTCTTTGWYAAACGTATGRAATAGCTTCTTGCCTATTTCCCTCTGTTTCAACATATCGTTCTTCACAGCATCAGACATCACAACTTTTGTAACGATATTGAAAAGATCAGTGACCCCACCAGAAAATTGATTTGTGAAATTCTTGATTGCATCTGCCAATAACTGGACATCTTTCTCTTCCTGTTTTATCACTGTTGGAGAGAGTTCATGGTGGACCTTTTTACTTTCAGACGAAATTCCAGCCATTTCTTTTGCTTCTTCAGCTAGACGAGCAAGCTCTGGGGCAATCAGGAAAAACTTTGTTCTGGCAGCTTCATTGAGTGTTATTCCCACCAAACCTCCCGATACCTTCATCGATCGATTGACTTGCTCTAACGCATGATCTGCTCCAATGGCGCAGAATGGTACAGAATCGTTCTTATTCACGACCCAGTTTCCCCTCTTGAATTCTTCATAAATCTCAGGGCTAGATGATTGCAATGAGGACATTTCGGCTAAATAAACAGGAATCATGCGTGCGTAATGGATTCTGTCGTGTGCAAAGAAGTACTTAGTAAATTCCTCTAGTGCTTCAAGGTGTTTCTGCCAATCTGCCGAACGGACTGCCTTGATAAACGCCAACATCTCTGCTACCATACGCATGTATTGAAGTGTGACTTGAAAAAGTGGGTTTTCTTTGTTAGCATCATTGAATTCTGACATCTTCTTCATAACTTCATTCGACTCAATTTCTTTGACAAGGTCTGCGTGATCGGCTTGGGTTAGTTTGATGCTCTTCTGAGTTGCTTTAGAAAACGTAGTCTTCCATTCGTGGATGGGAGAGGGAATAAGTGGTTGTGCGCAAACTCTTGTAACGGGTAATAAAGCCTATAAGACATAACAATGAATTGTTTCTTAGGAAAACTAAACTAATGGTCTTAAGACTAGTCAGTATGATTTATTGGCGTAAGTTATGATCTAACCTTACTGACTAGCGAATTATAGCCAGACCATCCAGGTACATGGTGTTGCTCACTGACTCTAGCTTCGTTGTTGGTTGTGTCTGGTACAGATGTTCTGCTGCCACTTTCAAGTGCATTTATGCGCATCAGAAGCCATACAAAGTCATCTTTGTCTACAAATATTGGAAGACGTCTTTCATCAAGGCTGAACTCGGGATGTGCTTCACATTTTGGATATGGTGGTGGAGGTGGACACTCCATCAATGTTGTCAAAGATTCAGGAATGTCAGGCAATGACCGAGCTACATTACTAGATCCTTCTAGACTGCAAAAGTTTAGATACAGCTATCTTAATCAAGTCCAGCTTTATTTATGAAACAATTAAATAAAAACACCTACCTCAACGATGGTACGTCATCATCAAGCTTTGACTGCTGATAAATTGTCATGGCTGCTCCATGCAGGTTCCGCTTGCCATCATAGGTGTCTTCCTGGAAATCAGAATTATCTATTGCAAAAAAGATGAACCTTCCTCTAATAATTTCTGGGGGAAGATACAACCCATCGTCTTTCAGTATGTGGTCAATGACATGCTCATGGGCTGGAATTCCGGTCATCATCGCGGGCGCAAATTCAGCGCCCTCCGCTACAAACAAATATGGCGTCCAAGCGTGCTTGCCGACGCGATTACAAGCAACTAAATGCGTTTTCATCAGTCGTCCTTTACGATACTAGTTCAAAAACGTATGGTAAATATTTTGAGGTGGAAAGGATTATTGAGAGAAGAAGAAAATCAAACGTAAGTACATTTGATTACATTTTATGGGCATTATAACAACTCGAAGAATGAACACTTGATAGATAGATAGAGCTGAAATAACTAATAAACTAAACAAAAAATAATGAGTTTGCAAGTAATCGTTTGTTTTGACACTACTGATCTAAATGTTGTTTTATAGGACTACGAATATTTATTAAAATGGAATGGTTGGCCATACGATTGTTGTAGCTGGGAGCCATCTATTAACTTAAATCCAGTACTACTAAGGTTTGCAGAAAATCAGTTATATTTACATATTTACACTTAATCAAGGTAAATCAAGTTATGTATTAGATATATATAATATATACAGTATAATTTCATAGCTATAAAAAAATGTGTAATCAATTTGTAGATAGTATAGTTACAAATTAAAATGTAAAACTTTAATTAACATGACTTAAACTAGAAATAAAGGTGCAAACTCTCATATAAATTGTATTTATTGTACAGGTCCTATAGTAATCCTCAAAAACCAGCTGATGAAAGGATGATGGTTGCAAGCCGTGATTTTTATTGTGCTGTTGTTTCATTTCTGCGAGGCAAGAGCTTAGCACCTATCTATGTCAACTTGGAACTAGATGTTTGGAGTTTTTTAACTTATAACAAAGGTAAAGAGTCTCAACATCAAGGACATAAGCTGTACGAGAAAGAGGACTTTATACTCTTCAAAACTTTGCCAACCAATTGGTATTTTACACTCAATGAACATGGAGAAGGAGTTGCTATAGACTTTCCTATTAAGGCAAAGCCTGTATTGTTATGGAGTGCATCTCATTATTGTATAAAGTCAAAGAAACTGGAAAAAGCACCAAAGTTTCCAATAGATAAAATATGCTTAACTATTTGCAAAAAAGCATGTAATTTAGACAATCTAATTATAGTGTAGAATATATTATATTTACATGGAGTGTTGTTAGTTGAACATGAATGACTAATTATGTAGTTGTAGCATTTTCCATGGCAATCCTGTAAAGGTCTTGTAGTCTTTTGGGGTCCCTTATTCTTGTTTTTATACCCATCTCCTTCAGTTTTGCCTTAATAGCTTGTGCATCTGTCAAAGTAGGAAAGCTTTGTGGAGGCGGTGTTACTTCTTCCTGACTACAAAGCCTGTATCGCTTAGATCTACTATCAAAAATTTTGTTTGACCAGTAGTCTTCACATTTTTTTTTGTATGGTCTGGGTTGCCGCTCCATGTCACTCAAGAGCTCCAGCCTTTTACCAACTTGAAGAACATCTTTGGCGGCATCCCATTTGTTGGATTTATACAAATGAATTCTTCTACAGTCATCATTTAGCTTTTCTACTCCTATTTGAATAATTGTATTCATAATTATTGATGGCATTGGCAATTATATCATGGATCACAAAAAACTAGCATTCAGGGAAAACATGAAATACAAATGCTAAATGCACTCCAGCAAGGGTTCTTTTTTACCTTGTCCAGTAAATTTCTTTATCCCATTGTGAAGTTTCATAAATGTTGGCACATGATACACCATTGTGTGCATGTAGGGTGTGACAGAAGTCTTTTTGTAGCCTTGTAGTTTTCCACCAAGGGATGTAAATAAATTAACCCAGGACGTGGGCTATATAATTAAAGAAGTTAAACATTTCAATATATCATCAATCCATCAATGTGACTTAAAATTGTTTATTCATACTATAAAATTTGTATTCTACAATCTCCTTTGAGTTCCTGTTTTTTTAATAAAAAACATGAATAATTGTTGTGACAATTATATATGGAAATCAGTGATCCAGAAGCAGTCTTTTAACAGGAAATCTTATTCTTCCTGAGTTAATTACCTTTATCAAATACACTTTGATGTCCTCTTCTGTAGGGTCTTTTTTCTGAAGCAGGTATGAGTAAAGATCATTGAAATCCTATAAAAAATGTATTTTATCATAATTAATAATTATAAATTCAAAAACCAGTATAAATGTTGAAAATATTTAGAAATTATTACATTAGTGTTTGCATGGAATATATTACAAGTATGTATATATACATAGGAGTGACTTATGGATTCAGTCAAAAACTTTGATTAATAATCACTCATTCAAAACATTGTTTGACATGCATGTTTAATCTCTTCACCTTCCATATCTGTACAACATCATTAGCAGTTTCTGGTGTTATCACGCCCTCTAACTTTGAAGGGAGCTTCTCAAGGAGAACTTTCTTTTCAGAACCCATTAGACTTGTGAAGTCATATAATCCACTAGGTTTACCATCTGCATTTTTCTTCTCCCATATTGAGAAAGATACTCCACAGCTACAGATTGCTTTTTGAATATCATCAAGATGCTTCATGGTATGTTTGCTTGGAGGTTTGTCTAAGTTGTCTTTGGCATCTCTTGATAGTGCCTCTTCAACAAGGTTCTTTGTTAATTTATCTAATGTACAAAGTAACAAAAATATTTTCAAAATCTTTTAACTGTAAATGAAAAAATAAACAAGATAATTACCAGTAACACGAAGCATTAGATGAAGCTCATCAATAACTATGTTTTCGATTGATATGTTTAACAGTAGCAAATGCTCACAGGAATATTCCTTTTTAAGAGCATACTCTTTGATGTCTTGTATTGTTCTTACAATCTCCCCAGTGGTATAAAAGTCAATTGGTTTGCTCATATCATACCTTTTGAAATAAATATATAATGCATATATTAATAATTTTCATCTTTATCATATAATTATCTATGAAATACCTATATTTCTCCAATTCATAAGCTTGATATTTTCACTAATGAAAATAACATGTTATTGATTAGCAGTGCTTTACAAACCTGAGAGACTTGAGTATTTTACACCAGATACAAGCAAAATCAGATGTAGCACCCTTCATTCCCATGATGAGCAAAAGAAACTGCAAATTCATGAAAATTTTAAAACAACTTTCATTTACAATGGAATCATTTCAAGGCTACAGGTGACAAAGTTACATCATATGACAATTAGTTAGTCCAAACTGAAAGTGAAATTTTCATAATATATCAACAAATGCTTACCTTATAATCTCCACCTAAGTACATCTCTATTGTAATGTTTACTTCATCAATCTTTAAAAAACAATCTTTAACAATATCATTGACCTCTTTAAAGATTTTCGAACAAGACTCTGCAAGTGTTTTGTAGCATTCTTCACCCTTTATCACAGCAACTGTGTGGTGACCTACAACCAAACAATTAGGCTATAATTAGTGATAAAGTTTACATCATCATGTGAACAATAATTTATCCGAGTGAACTTACCTTTTGAAGACATAACAGAGTCTTCATCATTTAAGATTGCAAATGATATGATTATCAAGCCTGTAAGTCTTGTCATCCTTGCCCCGTCTCCACTTAATTTTACTTTTATCTTCTCTACCTTGTCATCAATAGGTATGTCTCTGTCTTTCAGCTGAAATGATTCAGTTTATTATTTATCAATTTTAGCACCTTACAGTGCAAACACTAGACATGTATTTGGTAATAAGTGCTCATTTTGATACTGTTTCACACATATAGTGTTTGCACTCTTAAACGATAAAATCTTATCAATCTAAAACTTACATATTTTCTTATGACTTTTGACAGCTCTTGTCTAAAATTCACTTGAGCTCCCTCAGTTTTCCCTGGTGTTCTTTCAATATGACATAAGTTATCCAGTGATTCCTTGCATTGGCGGATTAGATATGTCCTTGGCAGACTTTCACCTGATGGAGTCATGCACAATTCATGATAAGCAGCCTCCCCAATGCAGAATTTATCTTGTATGAATAAGATCTGTTTAAGCTTGTTTTGTTCATCTTCTGGAAGATCTTTAAATTTTTTAGATGCTGTTGTATTATTGAAAGTCATATCATGTTTAGTCCCATTCTCATCACAAAAACTGGCACTTGAAAGTTTCAGGCCATACGTGTCTGCAAACCATAGTGCTCTTTCAACACCTGTTTTTAGCTCTTTTAGCTTCCGACGTTGCTGTCGTCCTTGTACTTCAACAAGCTTTTTTCCAGTGTTACACGAGTCCATAGCCAAACCTGCATTGTTGATGTAATGCAGTAGATGCTTATTTTCACTTTGCATTTCTTCAACATTTTTAGATATTTCTTTATGCTTTTCTAGCTCCTGATAGAGGACTTCACACCTTTCATTGAGAGCCTCTTTTTCTGCACACAAGCTGTCTACTGTTTGTTTTGTGGCTTCCAGCTTTTCAACCATGTCTTCAAGCTCCTCATAACAGATAGCAATTCTTTTTCTTGTTTGCAAAAACTCTGCTTTTGCCCTTCCATTTAGCTTGCACCATTTGCTCTTGCTTTCACTGCAGTGCCTTCTAAGTAGGTCATTGATCCTTTCAGAATCTTTCACTCTTATATGGTATTGATGGATAAGAGCATTGAGAATAACAACATTTGTGTGTTTTTTCAATTCCACATTTTCTCTCAAATCATGCCACTTCCTCAGCACTGTTTGAGGAATTTCTACTGTAAATGCTACGTTTTCATTTTTATAATTCAAGCAGTGATTTGTAGAGACGGTTACTTTTTCATTACAGCTTAAAACTTCAAGGATTTTCGACATACTATTTAGGAATGGCATTTCATTTCGAATTTGCCGCCAAACTCGCGGCAAACTGCTGACCTTTTTGTCTGCTTAACAGCAGTCCCAGAATCCTTTCTGGGCTTACAAACACACGAACAGAATCATTCAAGAAGAAGAGGTTTATTTGCTCGTTTTCTTACAAATATTCAAACGCCCAATACGCGATGACCGGAATTCTAGCCCATGTTTCTATTGCGGTTTCTACCCTCAGAAGTCTAGCGTATTCAACAGATAGTCCAAATCCATGTAGTAAGTTGATCATCTCTTTGTTTCTGCTAGCCTGGTGAAGAGCAATACCAACTGCAAGTTGCTCTGGCATCTCACGTGTAGTATGCAGCGCTTTGGACTTCTTATTGTTGACTTGACGTTCTGTTAAGCACATGGAAATGGTACTTTGGGCTAAATGCATTGCTCTGCAGTGTACTTCAGTGGATTTTTCTTCAGCAGATAACGACGAATTTGGTCCTTGTATTACCCATCTAAAAAAGCAATAAAAGGACAATTTTCACTTGTCAATGTGTCGAGTGTGCCTGTAAACGCCCATCTTTCATCATTTTTCGTAAAGCAAGTAGAGCTAGCAAGATTAACATCATGCAAGTCTTTTATGCTGGAGAGCTGTTTGTATGAAATTAGACAAATTGTTTGTCTTCCCAAGTACCCTTCCGGTCTTGGCTTCTATGATTTGACCTTACGTTTCTTCAATTAGGTGTATAAGGAGACCTCGAATCATGATACTTTTCCTTGTGGGCCTGAGTTGACAATTTCCTTCCCATTTTCTCTTATATTTTGTCAATCGCAAATTTAGAAGGAAACTCAGGTTAATCAATGAGAAAATA